AGCTATAATGCTAATTTGGCTAATTTAGCAATACCGTATCGCTTAAAAAAAGTAGCAGTATATATATAATATGGGCATGCCATGATACAAATACATAATGTGTAAGTACATTTTTTTAAATGAAATATTGAAAGCCATTTATGATAAGACCTCATGACATTCTTGTTAAAAAAAGTAAATGTCTACTCTTGTTAAATTATCAATATAATAAAACATAAGGGTATGAGGTAGACAGATATCATCTTTTTACCTGTTACATTAAGCCCAGGCCCTGTAATATGTACAAGCTTATAGGCCCACCCCAAAAACGTGCTATAGAGTATATACATGTAGGACTATATAATAACATGTATCTTTGTGTATACATTGCATAGGTGTACATTCCTTAACAGAAAAATGAAGATCAAAATTTCATTTCTACTGAAAACACAGGTCAGAACTTAAATAAGAATGAAAACCTGCCAATTGTCCTGTACGTGAAATCTGTATTGAAGCCCCAGACAATTACACTGGAGAACCTTATCCACTTGTAACTTGACATGTCTGTGACCTTTGAAATTCCAATTATGATTGTCAACACTAATATACTGGCATGTATCTAATGTTACTGGTCTGGGTATATATTACAGTACTACATGCAGAATCACACGTTACTATCATAAGTCAACCTACCAAACACCTCCATTTTAAAACGGAGCAGCTGCTATAGAGTAAAATACACAGGGAAAATTGTAATCTCATACATGTATCTTGAAACAAAATGTCAATAATTGTGATTGAATAGCACAGTTGGTAGAGTAATGGCCTATAGCTTTTGGCTGCAGGGTCAGTTTTGGATGCTGCAGATGGGGGAATGTAGCTTAAAATATCCTTTACATTTTCAGCATCATGTATAAAACATAAGACTGTACTATATAGTCTATAGATCTAAAAAGATGTGAAAAGGGTGTGACCACATCTTATTAGCAAAAGCTGCATGAGACAGTCATGTAATCTACAACACCATACAGGTATAGATAAGAAACACTTTGAGCATATGTTAATTATATATAAGTCTTCATATATTGTATAAAAGCAATTTAATTGACCATTGAACTTCAAAGAGATACAATTTTGAAGGTTATTGACAATGAAATGGAAACAAAACATGACCAAAACAGATTGAGTATTGTTATTATGAAGAACTGATTTAAATGTGTACCACAAAAAGTGAACTCATCCAGCAAGTTCTGTTTACATGGGTGTACAAGACATGTACTTGTATCAAACATTTTGTAAATTACAAACTGCCAGAGAAAACACATGGTCGGATCAGCGGCCACACATGGCGGCACCTTTACTGTTAGACAAGCCGTGGCAAGGCGGCATCTTCATTAAACACGGCCATCATACACATGTAAATTAGATACAGTCCATGAACCATGGGGGGAGCATCTTCTTTCATTAAAGATGTGTCAAAACTGACTTTCGGGCAAAACATTCAGTAATCAGATTCCTATTTTCAGTGCTTATTACAATTTTATATGAATCATCCACACTACAATACATACATGCACTATATCTCTTTTCCTATTTGAAATACAAGATACTCCAAAATTTTCACTGGTAATATAGAAAAACATTTAAATTAAAATTATAGTATATAGCTTTTAACGTTTCACAATAGGGTTAAATTGGGGTAACACTTTCCTGTTAAACACTCCTTGTTTTACTCTCAAAAACATTGCTGTTATTAGCTTACTATGACAGATAACTGCCACATCAAGTACCAATTGTAGTTTGTTATTATTAGAAAATTGTTAAAACCCTGGAAACCTTATTAAGAGAATGAATGTGGTATATATAATCATAAATTTACTACAAATGAAGCTCTAGATCTTTAGAAAACCTGCATGGATATATATACATCTGTAATGTCCTAATCTTACTTTTTATTATATTATTACTAAAAAGGTATTTCATATTGAAAGGAGTCCTGCTGAGTTTCTATTACAGAATGGTGGAAGTGAGGTCACGCCAAAACAAATCTATGGTTCCAGTGACTTTTTACTTTTTAACAAGGTCCTGTACCTTGTTTCTTTGGTAAAGTATCGCACACAATAAGCACGATTTTTCAAAAATAAAGTGATTTCTGTGTTGAATTCGGGAAAATACAGCAGATATTATATATATATAGATCTAGGGGGAGGGGCATCTCATAACGCCCCCAAAGTCACCTTTAAAGAATCACTGGGTTCTAACATGCCCACATACATTTGTATATGCTGTAAATGATATACATTTTTAGATTTTATATAACTGTTACTTGGAATACTATACATTTAGATTTCTTATAATACTGCTTGACCACAAAATGTTTGGTATAGCATTGGCTAAAATAGAGCTCTCTGTTTCGTAGGCATTGGATTACCAACTTACCAGAATCACATTATTTCAGGTGGCCTTAATGGCAAAATTTGATTAACTCTTCCCTGATTTAATAACATACAAATATGTGAGGGTGATTACATATTACTTGAGGCATTTTGATAATGACATTCCTTGGAGAACACTTACAAGCCACATTTTTGGGTATATAAGATTACCTCTATTCCCAACACACAATACTGTAGTATCAGTGGGTTTTTTTAAGATAGTACAATGTCGTCTCAACCTGTGATTACATAATTTAATTTAAATCTTTTTTTTTTGAGAACGCAATTATAGATAAAGCATTTGAGAGGTCAAAGCTGTAGAATCTAATGTGTTCTGTTTTGAAAATGAGAGATATATCTGGGTCAGGCTGTCTGGAAACAAAAGGCCAAATTGGCTCAATTTCAAGACTGGAAGATGTGATTTTTTTCATTTGTGAAATTTTCTTGTAGAACTTCAAACATTTTTACATCCATTTTAAAAAGGTTTTTTTTACTGAACATTTTCAAAAACCAAGAGTAAAGAAACTTGGCCTCACAAAATTATACAAATATGGATACCTGTTATGTCTAGATGTACATGTGTATTACCTATACTTCACTTTGTGAAAATTGAACAATTATAATTTGTCCACAATATCCATGTAATGTTCCACAGCTATATGTTTACAACGGAAATAGCAATAAATACAGACCCACATCAAACACTTACCAGGAACTGGGGTAGGATGTACGACTGTATGATTAACCAATGACTGTTTTATAAAACATAAGATCTTTAAAGAAAATTGTTAGACTATTTGCTGATCAATGTTAAATTTGTCTTATGACACACAGTAAAAGTATTAAATATGTTCAAACAATCACTGATCTAGGAGGTGTTTCCATAGACATGTACTGTAATTGACCTCATAAGGACACAAACTAAGGTTAAACAACAAGACATGGGGCTCTTTTATTTTGACACACTTTTCAAACAACGTCAGAGTGTCATACGAGTTGTTCATTATAGCCTTCAAGTTGTAGCTTGACTATAACTAATGATGGATCACGACGAACTTTCAACAGAATTCCAACGCTAGCACCCAGTGACCCTCTGGAGACAACTACAGATGTCTGGGTTTCATTCCTGTGTTATTGCATGCAATGTACTGGTAAATAATTGTGCATGCATGCGCAATTTATTTTGCCACAGAGGAAACAATCATAACACTGTGTATCGCTGATCTTATGGTATACCTATAAATGAACAATACATGGTCACATTGTCCTCAAAGATTTTCAATTCCAGTAAGCAAGTGCTTTTTTTAACATGACTAACAGTATAGATTTCATGACTCTAGATCTATCAAGATATTTTTCTTTCAGGATGTTGTAATCAGCTCATTATTTGGTCCATGCATTTTACACATCAAAATATCAGAAAATTACTATGAAATCAAATTTTTCCAAATTTCCTGGTTTCCGCATAAAACCTCATTTCGTAGGTACATGAATTTGTGGATTATTAGTAATCACTCATACCGAAAATAGCCTTATGTTAAACCTTAAATTAACTTTGTGGACATATGGATGAAAGTTAGTAATACCCACAAAATCTATGAAATTAAAAACCAGACAAAAGTTCAGAGATTTCACAGTAATAATATTATATAGTGTAACAGGAGAAAGAGAAATGCACCGTCAGACCGGGATTCAAACTTGGGACCTTCCGAACTCTAAACGGACGCTCTACCAAATGAGCTACCTGATTGCTGATCATGATGATCCACCCAGTCCAAAAGTTTTATTTAGAGTCGGTACATGGTATAACAATACAACATGTACCGACTCTAAATAAAACTTTTGGACTGGGTGGATCATCATGATCAGCAATCAGGTAGCTAATTTCTGCTACATTATTCCTCCCTCCATTCCTCCATCAAGTCTTCTATCCCGAAGACACACAAGACCCATGGCAATATTCTGTTTGGCGCCAAATTTGTAACAGGAGAAAGAGAAAACCATGGCCAGACCAGGATTTGAACCCGGGACCCTCTGAACTCTAGACGGACACTCTACCAATTGAGTAACCTGGTCGCCGATGATAGACCCCAGCCCAGTTCCGATACATATATAGTAACAACCAAACCACATCACCCATCATAATCCTACTGTTCATATGTTTGACACACCTGACCATTTTAATCTTAATTAATAAATTAATAATCTCATCCTTTGTATCGACTCTGAGAAGCCAGAGGTGTCAGAAAGTCAAGATACATAGGTCAGTTACCTGTGCCAATAGCATTACTGGTACTATTTATAATACCTTTAAATGTACTCACATGCAGATAAAAATGTTAAATATGTCCCAACAATGCATACTGTGTATTAATGAAAACTTTAAATCACAAAAATACGCTGTGGATCAGATATCTCAAGCATATGGTTATCTCGAGTTTAATCCGTAACAATGTACTATTGTAGGTAGATTTATAATCAAATCAACAAATGTGTGACAAGTATTTACATGCAAATTAGTCATCAATTTAGGACAATTTTAACGTAAAATAATTAATTAACCTATTAAGATAAAAGAGCACTTACATCTGTTGCATGACATCGTTGAGGAATGTCCCGTTATACAGGTCAGCGTACTCAATAGATTTACCTTGATTGAAAGACTCCACCTGCAAAATAAAGAAAACACACCTGTGCTTGGATCGAGTCATAAACAAACAAAACCTTGCTCAAATATTTCAGGACAACGAAAGGCAAAATCGACGACATTTACCCATAAAACGAGTGGAGTCTCCATAATGTTTTTAACGGCAGCCATTCTTAGCTTTAGCCTGCCTGATCATGCATTTCTTTTCAATTTTAACAAAGTGTAAAATTCACATGAGACATGTTGAATTTTACAAACTAACTCCATTGTGACGGATAACGAAGCTTAAACAAGACCGAAACTACATGGTAGGGTAATCCTTTCCTTGGAAAAATCACGTAATCCATTCGCTAATATCAGAAACAAAATAGAAGCACGTGAATTATTCACATAACCGACACACGAACGCTGTCACACACAAATATCAGTTTTCAGGTAACACCGACTGGCTGACATGAGCATCGTTGACCTTTGACCTGTGAGCAGGAATTCATACGCGAAAAGTACAATAATAAATTGTAAATTACAGCCTAGGCATTGCATGAATATTTTATCTACAGTAACAAGTAACTAAAAGTTTCGTATTTGAAATGGAAGTTATAATTTCAACTAGTTTAAGACATCCTATAGCGAAAATATATATAGAATTATATTCTATGCAAGGTGCTTTGCGAACGTTCGTGACATCTGACGGTGGATACCAATGACGCTAAAGTGGAGATAACTCTAGATTTCATAATGCATGTGTATTCCAGCTTGCCGGTTGTGTCGATTTTTTTTAGGAAATATAACACTGTAATTCTTTTTTTGGTCACATTCCCTCATTGAACTGTGAAAAAGTTAAATAAAAATAATGTATGCCACTGATTCCAAATTCTGAAAAAAATAGGCCTATATATATATATACAACAGTCAAACATTTTTAAAATATATATAAAAATAATAAATAAATAAATAAAAAATAATGTTTTCTTACAAATTAGAAAGTTGTGTCATGTTAATTTCAAGTGCAAATGAAACTGAAATACAATGTACTAAAATATTGAGTGGTATTTTCAAATTAATCAAAGTTTTACATGATTGGCGCGTTTGGAAAAACTGAAGACCAATGTCATTTTCTGACCTGTCATCCTGTCTACACTTCAGATTATTTTAAGTATGCATATTGTATGAATTAAAAACTGATATACTATAGCATACAAGGAAATGATATTACAAAGAAATCAATATTTCGTTTTGATTAACCTCAAAACACTCTACCTACTGGCTGTAAGCTAACAAAGAACTTCGGTATGTCAGTCAATATGAATTAACTAAATTCATGCTAGCCTTTACCTTTTGTGGAATGGGCTACATAAAAAGCTTTGAAAACTATAGTAGTAGTCAATAATCATCATTATTCGTAGCTGACATTAAATAAATGAAGATGAAAACGAACTTAACGTTTAACAAAACAGCTAGCGTATATTGTGATGTGCCCAAAATAGTAAGAAAATGTGAAGTTATGACATTTATTTTTACATTTTAAAGGTATATTCTTAATATCTTTTGAGTAGTAAAATATTCCCGAAAATCAACAGTCCACGAAGCAATCTCTGAAAAAATTAGTCTTTGTCAGTAACTAACAAATAAACTGTTTATTTTTATTTATTATTCAAATACCAGTATTAAGTAATTTATTAAGTCTTAGATATACAAAGTATAATGAACACCACTCTACGATCATATATGTGTCATTTTTATTCCAAACTTTATAGACGCTGATATAATGCTGGTAATTATTTTTATAAGGGTAGTCCAAAATATCTTTATATTACCGGAACAATCCGTAATTTAATGCAACCAGAATTTTACAAATCACTGTTCAAAAACATTAAAATTCATAACTCGATGGTTAAAAATACCACTAGTGTGAACAAGCTCAGGCAGTTTCTGACAGCGACGATGGTCGGAAGAGTTATTCACCCTTATGCTCTGAAGTACACATCTCCAAAAACGCGGCGTTTATTTGGCTAATTAACGATACAAATTCAATTTTCAACTTATTCAAACAATTTTTTAGAAATATGAGATTTTTGTAGGTATCAAATGTGTATGCCCATGCCCCTATTTAGACGGGAAATTTCAATCTCTAAAACTTGAGCTGCCAGATTAATATTTTGTATATTCATATAACAATATATATCTATTAGATGAACTTTATAATAATGATATAACTCAAATTATACCCCTCTTGCCTTTCATGTGAAATAGTCACGATTCAATTAAGCTGAATTTGTTGTTCAGCACAACCTCTCTATGACAATTGATAAAACGAAGTAACCGATCACATTGTTCAAAATCTCTGTTTATTAGGTGTTAAGTACGTTAAGTGACGGAGATTGCTCCCCTTTCTGCCTAATTACTTCCTAGCATTATGACACTCATTTATATAGCAAGGTAGATTACAATCGGATCATGGTTATTCCGTTCTGCATGAGATAAAAAAAAAAAAAGGTATATTATTGAGAAGGAAAAACTGAAAACCCAGTGAAAACATAACCAGATTGGTTTCATACGTCAGGTGAAACGCATGAACAAACGCCCCGGAAAATTTACCATTTTCTACAATGGAAATGTTATTTTAATTCACAATCGACAAAGAGAGCGGGGTATTCCCCTTTTCAACGTATATAGCCATAGACAAAACATTTCAGTTCAAGAAGTGACTAGACCAAGGTTAACGGTAACTATTATTATAAATAAGTATTCAGTTTCCACAAAATAACTTGACTTTTCTTCCACTCAGAATATAAAGAATCATTAGTCAAGGTTAATACTACTAAGTTAAGTAATTGATGAAGTTAAAAGTTTTTATCAATCTTCACATTGGCAACAGCGAATTCAAATCATCAGCGGTTCTGCCAAAAAAAAAAAGATTAAAAAACGAAAAAAAAAAAAAAGCTCGTCAATGTAGTTTTCCTCTTTTTTTCTTCTTCTATGTACACTATAGTTGTAATTCATTTATAGCATTTCAATATATCCTCTTCCTTCATACTCTTTTGTGGCCGCTGTGGCCAAATGGTTAAGGCGTGTGACAATCTGCTACCACTAGCCCTCCACCACTCGGTCGCGGGTTCGAGACCTACGTGGGGCACACTAGCTTCAGATGGTACCCGCAGTAAGCATATTCAAAATATATATGACAAAGCCTTCAAGAGATTAAATATTTTAAGATACCTAAAACATAAAATTGATGGAAAATCCCTTATTACAATATTTATTGCCTTACCAGACAGTTACTTGAATATGCTGATGTTATCTAGGATAACTGCTCACAACAAGCTAAAAACCTTCTTGAATCTATACAAATTGAGGCTGCAGGAATATGGCATGAAAAATTATACAATGAGCTTGGATGGGGGAAAACATTGAAAATAGACGAACAAATTTAATTACTAATGTATAAAATATTGCATAGCAACAGCCCTTCTTATCTGTCTGGCATTATTAATCCATTTGGAAATATTATTGATGAGCAAAGATACCCATTGAGAACACTCGGATCATTCAATCCGCCAATATATATGCCACAGTGAAAATTACTTCATCAGGTTTTTTCCTTACATGTTCCGTGAATTTAATGACTTAAGTAATGAAATTATAAATGCACCTTCCCTTTCAATATTGAAAAGGCTGATATCCATGGATGCAATAACAATGATACTGATTCTGCTTTCTTTAAAAACTATGGAAATAGACATGATAATATAATACTGTGCCAATTAAGAAATGGAGCAAGTCAGCTTAACTATGACCTATATAAGGATCATTTAAAAGATTCCCCAACTTGGGGAGGTGGATATGGATTTGAGACATCATACCATTTCTTCTTTACATGCCCAGCTTACAATGTGCAGAGAGAAAATACTCAGAGAATCACTTCATTATCAACATCACTTTAATATCAATATATTATTAAATGGCTCAAATGAGTTTACAGATGATATAAATAAAAAAGAAAAATTAAAAAAAATCCTTGATAATGTAACAAAATTCATTGAAAACACAAAACGTCTGACACGATTACTTAATTAATAATAGTGAAATGTATGTGGTACACCAACATTATCAATAATTATACTAAAATACTAATAATTGTATAATTATACTAGTACGTATCACTGTGGTATATACATGCAGACCTATGATAATAATAATAATATACAGCATTTATATAGCGCCCTATATAATTTGTAAAATTACTCTAAAGCGCTTTACAACATATGGATAATTCAGATTTCAGATTCAGATTTTATTTCCAACACTCAGATACATGAAAATGTGTAACATGAGGTACATGTACATGAATTCATATATTTAAATTATGACAGGATGAACAGGTGCATGCATGTATATGAAGATACTGATATATATATATATATATATAT